TGGGCCGCGCGGAGCCGAGCGGGCAAGGTAAATCCAGCCCCGGGGCCGGCAGCCGGAGCGCTTGGCTGGGGCGCCGGCTCCATGGGCAGCGGCGCTCGGCAGGATGATGGACGTTAACAGCAGCGGCCGCCCCGACCTCTACGGCCACCTCCGCTCGCTCATCCTGCCGGAGGTGGGGCGCGGGCTGCAGGACCTGAGCCCCGACGGTGGCGCCCACCCGGTGGTGAGCTCCTGGATGCCGCACCTGCTGAGCGGCGTCCCGGAGGTGACGGCCAGCCCCGCGCCCACCTGGGACGCGCCCCCGGACAATGTCTCCGGCTGCGGGGAGCAGATCAACTACGGCAGAGTCGAGAAAGTTGTGATCGGCTCCATCCTGACGCTCATCACGCTGCTGACGATCGCGGGCAACTGCCTGGTGGTGATCTCGGTGTGCTTCGTCAAGAAGCTCCGCCAGCCCTCCAACTACCTGATTGTGTCCCTGGCGCTGGCTGACCTCTCGGTGGCCGTGGCGGTCATGCCTTTCGTTAGCGTCACCGACCTCATCGGGGGCAAGTGGATCTTTGGCCACTTCTTTTGCAACGTCTTCATCGCCATGGACGTCATGTGCTGCACGGCCTCGATCATGACCCTGTGCGTGATCAGCATCGACAGGTAAGGGCCAGGCGGCTCCGTCCCAGGCTCTGCTGGGGATGTGCTGGGCGCTGAGCCCGCGCCAGCCTTTCCTGGGAGGATCAAGCCAGACTTCACCGCGGGATGAAGGGCTGAGCTTAAAATACAACCCCACACGCATTCCCCTACACCAACCAGGCAACTTCAAGCACAGGCTAAGCACACCTTTAAAAGAAACCTTGAAATGTTTCTGGTTTAGTGTAGGGATGATTCTAAGACCAGAGTTTTTAAAGCACTAGGGATTCCACCAGGGGATCCCTTTGCTGTTTTTTTTTTCTTTTCTTTTTAAAGAATTTGGTTTGATGCTCTCTAGCTCGACAAACCATTGCTGTCACCCATAAAATAATTTCTCTCTTGAAGAAATCAGTCAGGAGGAAAAAGTCTGTGCTGCCCAGATTTTAGGAGCTACTCTGGACAATGAAGAAAGGCCTTTGAAGGGCCCTAGCATTGGGTTCTTAAACGCTGCACTCTTACAAATGCTAATTCTGAATTTTATTCTCGTGAAAGTCTGGTTTCAGTGTTTGGCCATGCTGCCAGTTTCCTGCAAGCTTACGGACTGGAGCCTTATTCCTGTCTTAAAGGTTGGTTCTAGTCTTTCGTCATATTCCTTGGGAATCTAGGAATATTATCTGGAGAACTCCCCAAGTGGAGCACTGAAGCAGAGGTTGACCATCTATCAGAGATGCTGGGGAAAGGGAAAAAAAATGCTGCTTTGGGTGTAGAGTAGGAGAATCCTTGGAGTTTCTTCAGACTCTAAGAATATAGAATTTTGAGATTGAGCTGCTCTTTGGCCTTAGACGTATGCAAACAACAACCTGAAGTATGGTTTCAATACTCTTTGACTACAGAACACTTCTGTTTTATTTGTAATTGAAAATATTAAACCTCAATACCCACACTAGGATTCTGCTGGTGACTTCAACCCAGCACAGAACTATACCCTGTGGTGTTTAATGATACAGAGAAATAGTTGCTTATTTTCTTAGTGGACCCGCAGAACCTCTAAATGTGTAGATCTTTCAGCATGGGGACAATAATTGATGCCTCTGCATTTAAAATGACTGTGCCTCAGAGGATGCGCTGGCATGTAGCTGAGGTTTCCTCCCCATTTCCTCCTTGAAAACATTGCTATGCGTGGTTTGTTGTGTTTGAAATGTTCTTCCATTTTGCTGCTTGACCAGAGTTTATAATTACTAAATAAAGGGAACCGTAGGAAAGGGAATATTTGTCAAGAAAAAGAAACACATTGTAGTTGTATTTAGGTAGTGATTTAGATTTTTTTAAAAACAATCCTGCCATTTTATGTCATGACAGGAGCCTCTGACAGCAAACAAGGGGTTATTTTAAGACTGGAGCATGAACTGCCTATGTGAGAATATTGGCACCAAACTTGGCAGCTGAAGTTCTGAATTACTGCAGTTAAAAGTGACAAAAAACATATGCATTTACAGTCTGGCTGTGACAACAGGAATTCGGAGAGTGCACTCGATATACATAATAAGTATATCCACGAGTGACATGCCCAGACAACCGACTGCTCAGCCAACCAAAACTCAGTTCCTCCACGATTGGAGTCCTTGTCAGTGGACCTTAGTGTAATAAAACAAATCCCAAGTTATGCTGCACGTGACGGCTCTGGAAGTCTGTCTTCATCTTGTAATTGGAAAATGATAAGCAGCACATCGAGCTAACTTGTCGGCCAGTGCTTCTGTTGCGGTGGGCACATGCACGTTCTGCTGAGCTCACACTGATTCCTATACTTGGGCTAAAGGCATCCTTCAATCTGCATGCACATGCAGTGTGGTGCCAGCAGGGTGTCCTGAATACAGCGTACAAGTTAATTCTTCTTGGCAAGATCTCAGCTTTTCATTAACTATATCCTTGGGATTGTTACAAGTTATGGCAATATAGGCATATATTTTACCTTTTTGTTCCTCCAAGAATTGACCCACTGGTGAATTCCCATCTAAGCAGAATTTTAGATTTGCATTTTTTTTTTTTTTAGATAAAATGAAAATTTTATACCACTTCATGGCTAAGCTCAAAGAACTGTGCCCACAGCTGTATTTCCTTCTTTACTGTTCAGTATGTGAGTTCGATATTACCAGATCTACTGCAGTCTTGGAACTTGACTCTCTAGTTTCATTTTGCCCACCCCCATCCATTTCCTAAGAAAAATCTAGAATGATCTATTATTATTATTATTATTAGCAGAGTGAACATAGATTTATTAATGAAAGTGCTAAAAAAAAACCTCCTGAGAGTGAGAGAGATTGCAGGGAAGGAACATTTTAGTCTTTGAAAAAAAACCCATAGTTAAGATAAAGCTAAGCATAATAAAATACACATTTTTTTCCCTTTTTTTTCTTTTGAAACAAAGTCTTCCCATGTAGCTCAGGCTGGACTTGAACTCACAATCTTCCTGCCTCGGCTTTCCAGATGTTGAATTACGGCTATGAAATGACAACTGGCTAATGCATAGATCTTAAATGTCTTGTCCAACGTGTGATCCACGGCACCGGAAAGATACAGTTTCGTCGTCATCCTACAAGGCTCCCTCGGGCCTTTCTTAGCAAGCTTCCTTTATAAAGTCGTAGAGACAAGGGGGGCTCCAAACTTGCTGTGGTGGATGCCATCAGGAATCAGCACACGTCAACTATATTGAGATTTTTAAAAAATGTCTCAGACATAGATGCAATCTTACTATTATTCGTATAGCTTTTCATGCACCTGAAATGCATTTTAAAACTTACATTTTGAAATACATATAGAACAGTGTACATTCTAAGTGCAGAGCTTGGTAACTAACAGCATATCTTTATAGTCAACAGTATATAACAAAACTAAATATAACAGTGTCAACCTCACAGAGGTCTTCCCCTCCTCTAGTTCTTCACAAAGTACAATGTAACCTCCATTAGGTGATCAAGAGAGAATGAATGAAGAGTAAATTGTCTTGTAATTTTCATAAAGAATCCAATGTCCTGACTTTGGGCATCATAACATAGTTTTGCTTGACTTAGAACTTTTAAAAAGGTAGAACTGGAACTGTATAGTATATAATTTTTTTGTTTGTTTGTTTGTGATAAGGTGTGATTATGTAGCTCTAGCTGGCACAATCCTCCTGCCTCAGCTTCCCTAGTGCTGGGATTATAGGCATGTGCTACCATGTTCAGCTTTGGCACTCACTCCTTTGAATCCCCCTTCTTATGCTTATCATACTGTACATAAGATTCATCTATAGTTTTAACCAATTAGTGATTCATTTATTTTTATTTATGAGTTGTATGTCAATGTACAATGATATAATCACCTGTTTTATATA